CTTAATTGCTCCATAAGTTCCACTGATTCAAATGGGCCTCCTCTAGTTGCAACTTACTTTGCTAAGCATCAGGATTTCAGCCATTATTTCATTGCAAAGCTAAACATGATTTTCCTTCACATCCCCTTTTGATTTCTTTGACACACAAAATACAACTTTCAAATTCAAATTACAGACCTTCAAGAATGGAACAGAGATAGAATAAAGCCTATCATTTGTATGAGGCGGGTGTATTAGGAAGTCAGAACAGCTTGATTTGATACAAAGCTTCCGTCACAGGTTTATTTTTAACTACTGCTATGTTGAACTTCAACTCTTCCCTTCAAGCAGATTTACTGATCCCTTTGTAACCTCATAATAATGACAGCTTCCTCTAACTGAATTAAAGATGAACAAAGGGTATCTCGCTCCTCTCTTTTCTTTAGAAATCATACTAAGAAATCTTGTTTGTAACTCTTAGGAGCACTGAAGATTGCTTAGACTAGATCAGACTAGTATCCTGTAGTTTGACTGGAGTTTTCTTCATATAACTTACTATCTGTTGCTTTTAACCACTAAAACAATAGTAATAATTGTGTACCATCAAGTCAGTCCTAACATTCAGCCAATTGCCTCAGCATTTTCTAAATATCAAGTACTGTATTCAGAAATGGTTTACTGCTTCCTTCTTCTGGGGGCACTCTGACACCATGTTTGAACAGTGCACCTACTCAGTGAACTATCCAGTCATCTAATTAGCAATACTAGGGTTCTCAAGTCAAGACCCCACTGTAGCCAGTCATCTAATTAGCAATACTAGAGATGAAACTGGAGGCTTTCCATGTATAAACGTGGGCTGAACCACAAGTTATGATCCCTAAAACTGAAGGCCATAATGGTGAAATCCTTCTCCCTCAAATTCTATAATTATCAGAGCTGCCTCCAAAATCTGGGAATCCTTCACTCAAGATACACCATGCAGCCTCTTAACTGGGGAGTGTGGGTGAACAGAGCACACAAGTCAACAGACAACATCACCCCTTCTTAAAAGGCCTGGTCCAAATGGCGGCACAGTAGTCTTGCTGGCTACTTCCTGTGTCTAATATTGGCTCAGACTTTCTAATATTAGGCAGAAACAGTGATGGAAACCTTTCAGTTTGCTGTAATTGGAACATAAATAAAATTTAACGTTTAGAAATTTTGGGACGGAAAACATCAGGAGTGGTGGTAAAATTTAAAATGGGAAAAAGAGCAGGACAAAAGGTTCTCCAATCTAAGAATATCTGCTTCCAACATCCCGTGATGGTAAGAAGTCTCCCAATTGGAAAGATCTGAAATAAGGGCCTCTCTAGTTTGAAATGGTTACCCCATTTTGAAGTGGGCTCAGGTCACCTTGATCTGGTGTGAGGTCCCAAAATAAGGACTGACTCCATTCTTGCCAGTCCCCTCTCCGTGAAGCTCATCCCTTAAGGCAACAGGGGAACCTTATGGGTGATAAGAGAAGCCCTGTTGGGCTTAAACAGAAAGCAGGAAAGCTTGACTCTACTGAGGTATATTATTCTGATTGTACCATGGAGTTTATAGTTTCCTCTATCTCCTGTTGAATTGAGAAGGAAAACAAGAAAACAACAATGGTCATGGTATGCGGCTGGAGATGAACCTACTTCGTGCATTCAGGAGATTGGTTTCCAGTTCAGAAAAGGCTGAAATATTCACTCATTTTTGAGGCTTGTGTCAGCTGCTTTCTCACATGGGAAGTTCTTTTTCTCCACTCTGATGAATCAGTGATACGGAGGTCAGGCCAGTAACCTCCCTTGTTTTATGTAGACCTGCATTACAGAAATTTTGTGTTAATCTAACATGATTCATTTGGGAACCCTGCAGTCTTCAACAATGTTAAATATTTATTAACAAAGCTGTGATAAGGGTCTATAATACTGGGTTACAGTTAATATTTCAAACCTATTGCAATGTTTTAAATCGGACTTCATATTCTTTTTAATACCCATCCATCTCTGTTTGTTAGGTTGTCTCCTGTGTGGGAGGAGTTGGTTTGCACTGACAAATGTCACAAAGAGGGGTGGGTGGGGGAAGCCACAGGGAATGCATTCACACAGATAGGAAACAGGTCCAACCTGAACTCTTTCACTTTATCAGGCTTCACCATCATTGCGGCATCAAATGACAAATACAAAGTTGTAACACTTGCGTTTGACAAATATTTATTTATAGGTTGTTGCCCTGCTTGCAAGCCCAATGAAATTGTTGCCGTGCTTGCAAGCGTAAAAAATAAGGCATGTTCTGGGGTTCTTCTTGCAGGCTGCAGACACAGTTCTCAGAATGCATTCAAAAGATGACCACATTGCTTTAACTTATTGAAAGCTGTAATGCCCTGCATATTCACCTAGGAACAGGTCCCACTGAACTCTTCAGCCAAAACAGAAGGGAAGTTAAATGTGTTCCTGCATTTAGCCTGCAGGCTTTTATTAAAATATGTCAATAACCCAATGGCCTATTGGCCTAAAAGTGAAATGTGCATTTGTATGATCCATCAGCCAGTACTAGACTGGCTCTATGGGGTTGCGACATAGGATGAGGAATGGCATTTGTATATGTCCTCTCTGTCAAGATGGAATTGCACTACATGCAGATAATACAAGCACTAGCCTCGCTCTTCAGGTTCTACCTCATCAGGCTGTCACAAGAGAAGCTGATCAGTGATCTATGTTGAAGACCTGGGCCTGCCAGAAAAACAGTGGGTAACTGTTGTCCTTCAGATATTTCTTGCTTATGAACTCCATCCCTCCCCCCATCTCTCACCACTGGCTATGCTGGACAGGTCGGTCCAAAAGCATACCGCTCTACCTTCCATTGACATTTTATACCATTGCCCTCATTTCATATTTTGCTTACAGTTCATTTTCCTTCTGCAGAAAGAGGTATACAGTATATAATAATAATCTTAGAATTGCAGAGCTGGAAGAGACACTATGGCGTCTTTCACTTTTCCATCACTCCTGTTGCCTGATAAAATAGCTCCAAGTTCTTTTCAATGAAATTTGTGTAGTTAAAGAAGCAATCATTAAAAAGCTCTAGCCCAGCCACCTATCTTCCTATATTGGTGTACACTTACAGATTCTATAGGTCTTGTAAGCTACTGCTTTGCTCTCCCATGCTGATCAGAAAGGGTGGGCAAAGCCTGGTCCTCCAACTGCAGGTGAGCGAGCAAACTCAGTGGTGAGGAATGCTGAAAAATGATGTTCATTAACTTCTTAAGTGGTCATGGCTATACACTGAAACCCAAGGATTTTGATGATATTTCAAAAAGTAGTGTACTCCAAAAGAGTTAGATGAATTCTGTTTTAGCCATTTACCTTGGTTTGTCATTTCAGGCCATTTTCCTCTAACCTAGTTAGAGGTGTGTTAGCCTACAGATCCTATCATCCCCAGTCAACATGCACATTGATTGTGCAGCCTTAGGATGATAAAGAGTTGTAGTCCAGCACACTTTGAGAAATACAGTACCTTGAATTGCCTTGTGCTCTGTTTGCAAACTCCCAAAGGCATGTCTTTGGAAGGAAAATGCTGGATGTTAGAGCGGCCAGAGTCGGATCCTGCCAGGCAGTGATTGCCTTCTTACTGTACTTGGCTGAATATACAGTGGCTGAATCTGTTGTAAACTATAGGTTATTGTGCTGTAGTTACTCTTGTAATGTTTGACTGTGCATCCAAAACGTTACTCCTAACCCCTAATACTTAGCCTTTTCTGGTTACACTAAAAGGCCTACTGTAGAAGTTCCAGACTGTTTTAAGAGTTGCCCTGCACTCTAAACAGAATTCAGGCTTGATTGAGTGTGGCCTCTGCGGGATGGAGGTCAAAGCGGGCTGCATGGGTGGGAGTCAGAAGACACACCAGTTGCTCTTCCATCAATCTTTTTAGCTCATGAACCAAAGAGGGACTCAGCATCGGGTGAAAGGAGGGAGCTGATTTCTCCCTGGCCGCCCGGCTTGCTTCTCGTTTGGAAAAGCAAGCCGGGTGGCCGGGGAGAAATCGGCTCCCTCCTTTCACCCAATGCTGCTGGGGCTGCCTCCTTTTTGGCTTTGGAGGTTTCAAAGGGCTTCCTCTGATGTCAGAGGAAGCCTTTTGAAAGCTCCACAGGCAGGGAGGAAGGGCAAGAAATTCGAATTTCCCGCCCTTTCTCCCTGCCTTTTTGGCTTCGGAGGTTTCAAAGGGCTTCCCCTGATGTTGGAGGAAGCCCTTTGAAAGCTCCAAAGGCAGAGAGGAAGGGCAGGAAATTGGAATTTCCCACCCTTTCTTCCTGCCTTTTGGGTTCGTAACTCGATCTGCGTTCGCAAGTAGGGTCTACTACCTGCGATGAGATCGGGTTCGTAACCCGAAATGTTCGCAACTAGGGCCGTTCGTAAGTCCAGGAGCCACTGTAAATCGAAGCACCATTTCCCATAGGAATGCACTAAAATGCAATTAATCCGTTCTGGCCAAAGGAAAAAAAATCACCAAAAAACCCCCAAACAAAACAAAACAAAACCAAAACAAACAAAACACAACACTGCAAGACCCGTCAGAAATGGGAAAAAACCCACCAAAAAGCAAACAAACCCTGCAAGACCCACCACAGCATAGAAACATGATTCTACCACCTAGCTCAAAAGCATGCTGCAAAACCCACCCAGAACAGTTTTTCAAAAGAAGAAAGCAGCACCTTACCAGGCAGTCTGAAGCCTCCTTTGATCACACACTCTCTTAACTGCTGGGGCAAAAGAGCTACAAAGCAGCAGCCTCTTCGCCACCAATGGTTAGCAATTTGAATGCCCCTCCTTTTGCCCCTGCCTTTTTCTGTTTGTAACTCGAAGCTTCGGTAGCAAGTAGAAGCAAAATTTTGCGGTTGGAGCTGGTCATAACTTGAAATGGTCATATGCTGGGACGTTCGTAAGTCGAGGCACCACTGTACTCCATTAGGTGATAACTGCAACTTCATCTTTACTAGCACATTATGGCAACCTACATGGGAGATAATCCATTCTCTTCCTCCCATGAATCTACAGAAAGTAATACAGACACATTTTAAAATAAACTCCAATTTATTGTTGTTTCTGGAAAACAGCTCACATGTTCAGATTTTTTAAAATCTTCAAGACACATCTTTTTTCTCAGAAACAGCACAATGTGCCAGTTTTGTTTTTGCTGACATACAGAGTTAACAAGCCTAAGAGATAAAATTCTTCATATTGCATGTTGTGGTGCAAAAATCAAGTGTTATTTACATTTGACACTTAAAACCATCTTCACTGGTAGCAGCAGGAGCAGAAAGAGGTACATCTACAGGATATGCAAGCGTGCTCTTTGGCATTCACATTTCATTTAGAGTGTAGCATTGACAATTTCTAAAAATAAAAATAACTCAAGGAAGGACGTCTTGCTTCTGCTTTATAAAAGGAAATTGTAGCATTCAACCTTCCATGTAAATGCTTTCAGAGCCTCTGTAGATAACTGCGGTTTAATTTCTGCTGTAGTGCATGCATACGATTTATTTGCCTCATGGGAAGAGCTAACAGAATAGGGAGCAGCTTCCTATAGGGTATTTAGGAAGGTTAATACCATCCCATACATACATTAAAAAAATCAGGTACTGTTTACTTTACATGCAAAAAGCCAGGACTTGGGGGGAGAGAGTGAACACTGCAATAATTTTTCTTTTTAAAAACTCCACATACATTTTTTGCCTCCATTAAACAGTAAAGTAGAAGAGAAGCTGGAGTCTGAGCTTTTTCTTAACACCGTGGTTGAAATCGAAAAGGTTTCTTATATGACAGGCAGTTTCTTCCACTCACAGAAGTTCTCCCTATTTTTACTACTGATCCCAAAGGCTTCTGCACTATATCCGCCATTCTAGATACACACATAGAGATACAAACCCAAATTGTTACGGTGGTGGTGGAATTTGAATGAGTAAGGACTGTACTCACACTTCTATGGATCCAACCACATGGTGTTTTCTTATTCTTCCATGGCCAAAACAAACAAGGAGGCAGACAGAAAACTGTGGCTCGTTAGTAAGGTGCTGGTTGGGCACCCAGCTGGGTGCACAATAAGGAACACAACCAGTATCTCACTAATGAGTCATCAAAACTTACCCCGTTTCCTTTATGCAGGCATATACTGGCAATAGGATTTTGGCCTATATACTGGAAGCGGGTAATGGAAGAAAGTAAAGCAGACAGATGACAACATAAAAAGTTACTGAATTTTCTTCACCTAAAAACACATTATTTTTCAAAAGGGAAGGCTTCAAATATAGCAATTGTAAGTTTTCCTATTAAGCCCTTCAGAAAGTGGATTACAGATTTGTACACGTATTTATCTAAATTTGTTTCCAAAGATGTGAGAAACAGAGGAGTGAACGGCATGTAAACCTGAATTAGTCATTTGCCCCAGCGTATAAAGGAAATAGGATTTAAAAAAACAACACTTAATCCAAATGGTTTCTTTTGGTGCCACACATATATGCAGTTGATCCAAAGAGGTTGAACAAAGCAGTATATTTCAGTGGGATTGTGTCATTTCTGGAAGACAAAAGTTCTGTGTGCATTTCAGTGAGAACTAATCAGCCAGTAGTCAGTGCAATGAGAACCCATATGTGGACACCACAGGAACCCACAGGTTCAAATTGCTTCCAGAGCAAACATGAGGCAGAGTTGAGTGAGACAACACTGAGGAAGACCATTATTTTTGCACAAGGTGCAAGCACCTCCTGGTTCAGTTCATAAGGGTCACAGTACTTTCAGGCTGGCTTCCAAATATCTGAGAGAAGAACTCAAAAGCCAAGCGGATATGGATGGGGATGAAGACATATGCAGTGTAGACCACCATTGCCACCACAGTAATTATGATGGTGTGGAACATGGATCGTTCCCAGGGCTCCAGGACATAACTACAGGTAACCAGAAGATACTGGTAATACAGCCAATAGATATAATCTTTCATTTGCTTCAGGTCCATTGTTGGCTCAGAGGAGCGTCAGGAGATATGACCTGTTAACAAAAGACAGCCGATTAAAAAATGCATGGCATAGGATGGGATGGTTAACAGGTTACGTTTGGCCCGCAGTGGCCCACATGAAGTCCCCACCATACCCATCAAATGTTCACCCCCCCAACTGACACAAAATTCTACTTGTGCCCTCAGGGGGGGATGGGGGCAAATCTGCCATGTTCTGAAGTCCCCCAGAACCCTTGAGATCCCCAATCCCCCATTTAACTTTTTAAAAAATGCATCTTTTTGACTACCAAAGGGCAACATGCAAAACAACAATAAGGAAAATGCTTCAAATACAACGAATATCTAATTGCTTTGCAATGGGGAAGGCAACCAACAGATCTCTGTAGTGTAAGACATTATTATTCTGAAGCACCAGCGTAAGCTATGAGATATTTATACCAGACCTTAGAAATGACTTACTTATTATAAGCTCCTTTGGCAGTGAGAAAAGCAGAGGTAAAATGTCCCCCAGATAAGTAAGTGTACTGTATCAGGTAACGAGATCAAGATGATCCCAGATGATCAGGCTCCATGCCGTCTGGAGCAGTTAAGTGTTTTCAAGAGTATGGCAAATAATATCATTAGAAAATGGAGAGGAGGGGATCATGGATGCTTGTCATTCTGGACACCAGACTGCATTAGTTCTAATTGCCACTGATGCTATAATTAAAACACTCTGAGTATAGTGTTGCTACCCAAGTGATTAGATATTTTGTTTACCTATATTGTTAAGGTTGGACCTCTTATCACATAATGATAAACAGAGAGTCAGCGAAGCAAATGGAGAGCCTGTGGGGTTGATAAAATTGCAAGGAAGGCATTCAGGAGTCTCGAGCAAATAAAGAGTTGTACCTACAATTAGGACAAAGTTGCCTGGTAGTGTGTGCGTGCAAATGAAAAAGGTTCAGGGCACTTACGTAACGGTAGATATACCTACTATTCCAAACTAGACATGCCATTTATTGCATGAATATGATTATCATGTATTTAAATAGATAAAACAAGCACAGAGTGGCCAAGACAGCATTAGGGCTGTTGGGGATGATGGTGCAAGGAACTTTTAGCACTATGCTTCTTCTGATGTTAGGATGAAACATTTTCTTTTGCAAGTAAGTATCCCCCCTTCTTTTTCACCGAAGGTGAGACTTGAACTACATTGATAATGTGGCAGTTCCGCTGCAGCTCAGTACAGTATCTAACAGAAACTGCCCAGTGTTGATTCTGTAAGGTGGCAGCTCTTAAAACAAGGGTGTCAACACATGCCAAGTGCAGATATTCCTTATCCACTAGCTACAGTATGGTGAAGCAACAGTAATATTTCTGCATAATAGGTTAAACCTGAGGCAGACTCAAGGATAAAGGCTGCCAACATTTCTAAAGAAAGGCATGATCTACTAAGTACTTTCTGACTCAAGGATAAAGGCTGCCAACATTTCTACAGAAAGACATGATCTACTAAGTACTTTCAGTGATTTGTTTCAATAAACCATCCATGCAGATTATCTTTGAAATGAATGAGTCTCTATACATAATACCTGGCAGTTTGAACCCAGAACTCTTATTTCCGCATCAAAGAAGCCCACAACTGTTAAATTAAAGTTGTCTCACATGGCTGCTGCAGATGCTCTTAAAACATTATCACAGTATTTAACATTTCGAAAGCCAACTCCTCCTGACAGGAGGTTTGTTTGTTTTTAGAAAGTAGGCCAAACTGTAGAAGCATCTTGGGATAATGGGATTCCACATGCATAATTCATAAAGATGAACTTGGCTTAAGAGGGCAAACCCTAAAGTCATCTACCCTGTTTCCCCGAAAATAAGCCCTAACCTGAAAATAAGCCCTAGTATGATTTTTCAGGATGCTCGTAATGTAAGCCCTACCCCAAGAAAAAGCCCTAGTTAAGTGAAACCCCACCCTCCACCATTGTGCAACAACCAGAAGATGACATGGCTGTATTTGAATAAATGTAGATGGTTGTACATGAAAAAAATAAAACATCCCCTGAAAATAAGCCCTACTCTGTTTTTTGGAGCAAAAATTAATATGAGACCCTGTCTTATAGTTGGGGAAACACGCTGAAAATAAGCCCTACTCTGTTTTTTGGATCAAAAATTAATATGAGAACCTGTCTTATAGTTGGGGAAACACAGTATAACTACAAAAAGGTGCGTGCATCTCTGCCACAGACAATGGAGCCTAGAGACCTGAAAACTGGTATGGATATTATAGCAATCTGAGAACATTCATCTCTAAGATGTTCAGTCTTTAAAACAACTTAATTAATTTCAATCAGTTTAAATTTGCCTAGCGTGTACAGTATGAGACAGTTCCTAAACGGAAAACTTCCTTTACCATGACATAGCTATTATTCAGAAGACTGGCTCTTATTCAGATAAGGAAGTCTAGAAGACACCAGTTTGCAAAAAATGTGATGAGTGAAATCTGCAGCACTATCAATTAGGACTGTTAGGATGTCAGCTGAAGTCACAGGAGGTTACTCTGCCTCTCCAGGTCCATCCTTAACTTTATGATAGGGCGTTACATCCATCACTGCCCATTCTCAGCTGGCACCAGGGCGCCAAAACCTAAGATGAAGGAAGATTAGTATATCTCTGTGGCTTCAAGTGTTATGATGGGCCCAGGTGCCTTCACCTATCACTCTCCCTCCTTCTGGATCTTTATTTAGTTATCATTTTCATTTGTATGCTGCCTTTCTCTCAATTAAGTAACCCAAGGTGACCCACAAGTTACTAAAAAAATAAACCAACTAAAGTCATAATAAATTATGAGACTAAAACACCACAAACATATAGAAGTATTAAAACAATTAGTTGAAGCTGTTAAAAAACACCTTAAAACACACATAAAAAATAACAGTGCTGAGCACATGGTTAAAAACTGTCCAACCAGTTGCTTAAGACACCTGTATAAAAAGGATGGTCTTTACCTGTCATCGAATGAAAAAGAGGGAGTCGGTCAACCTAGCATCCCAGGGGGAGGGGTTTCCACAACTCTTGTATTCCCACCAGATGTCCCTGTGAAGGTGGTGTTCTTTGGCCAGCTAATGCTGGGTCCGTTGAGTTGTTAGAACATGGCAAGAAGTAAAGCACTAGCATCATAAACCATGGGTATTTATGCTGCACCAATTAGGTTGCCTAACCTTCCTCAAACCCTCTGGCTAAATGCAGAAGAAGAGGAATGTACAAGACAGAAAGAAACAGAGTGAGAATGGATGGAGCCACGAACCAACTCTAGAGAAAACAAGATTATGCCTTCTCATACAATCCAGCTATGAATCGTGGTTGCAATCGATTAATCAGGTGGCTCAGCGTCAAATTCTTGTACCTACTGCCATATAATTAGAAGGCAAGAAGAAACTCCAGGGGTGGATCACAACAGTGGCACATTCCAACTGCTTCAAGCCAACAGCCACACCAGTGTTTAACTTGATAAAAAAATCAGAATGCTTCTTAGCTAGGAAAACTGTGATACCCTATGGGTCCCCCCCAAAAATATTCCCTGTTACAAAAAGACAAACCTAGATTTGATAACTGGTTTTATTCTCACTTCAATCTTCTTGTTGCTGCTTAAACTCTAAGACTCCTAGGCTATCAAAGAGATACTTAATAATTAGGTAATGTTTGTGACTATGAATCTGGAGAATATACAGCTGGCTCCTACAGAGGATCTTTCAGTGCTATAAAAATTACTGACCTCCAGGTTGCCTCCTTCCTTCTCTTCTGATTGTTCTTCTGAATATTCAGACAGAAAAATCTGAAAAACTGGGGATTGCATGCTGGACTGTATAGAATGTGTTGGAGAATGTGAAGGAGATTTGTGTTGGTGCTGCAGAACTGGAGCATCCTGTGTGATCTAACGAGGCCTCTGCCCAATTATGCCAGTGTGGATATAAAGCTCTCATGTGCCCAGTTTATTTATTTTATTTATTTATACCCAGCCCATCTAGACAGATAGTCTACTCTGCCCACAATCAAAGCATGAACCTGGTTGTATGGTATGCACAAGCCCACCAGGTCCTCCTCACCTCCTACCACAAGAAGTACCTCTCAAATCCTCACAACTTTTAGGTGGACTTGATGAGATTGCTGATCAAACAGAATTTAATTTGAAGAACAGCAAGAAGAGCAACCTTAGCGGTCAGTAATTTTGACAGCATTGAAAGATCTTCTGCAGAAAATTGCAGTAACACCAGGAGCAAGCTGTATATTCTCCAGATCCATAGTGTTGCCTGAGCAATTATTGACATTCATCAGGTGTCAATACCTTCCTTAGCCTCCCCAAATTATATTTTTAGGGGGAGGACGGTCATTGCAGATACATTTAAGTTCTATTTCAGAGGCTTACAAAACAACTTCCCTGTAAGCCCTGTAAAAGATATAAAAGTGAGCAGTGTTGTGTGTAGCTCCAGGAATGAGGCAAAGCTATTCCATAGTTTGTCCTTCATTTTCCTAGAATCTCACCTATGGAAAAGGCTTCTGTTTTTCTGCCTCATTCTCAGGACCCTTGGTCATTTATTTTGGAAATATTTTTGAATATGGCACTCTTTATGCTAAACATCTTTGTAACTCTGCAGCTTACCTAGCTGCCTGCACTTTCTGATCTGAAAAAAAGAATTTTGGGAGGTGTCATCTTACAGTAACCTCCTCTGTACATTAATGGCAGTGTAGAAAGTGTTGGTGGTGGAGAGTGCTCCCAGTTGGCACGGAGATGATTCTATAGTTAAAGACAAGGCATGAACACATAACATCAACTGCACAAACATTCTGAACCACACAATAAGAATTCTTCCTGAATTCTTTAAAAAAGAAGTTCATTTTCTATAAAATTGAAAGAGAATGCTCAAAATTTCTCATGGGGGAACTGTTTGGCACAACACTAGTTCTAACCTAGGTGAAACCAAATACTTTCAGTGGTTTTTGAAATAAGAATGATCTAAACTGACTTGAGAAGTCACAACCTCAACTTGGTCCAAAAACAGCCACTACAGAGCTTTTGTTCTGAGTTTTATACTCAGACCCCATGTTTACTTAATATATTTCGACTCTTATGTGATTTATAAAGATTTCTTCAAGATCTCAAGACAGATTAAATGCACTGGTCTGCTTTTCTCACAAAGCCACGACTAAGCAGAAACACTCATGCACGCAACATGATTTTCTAATAGCTTCTTCATAAAGCACAACTGGAGTCAAGGAAAGCCCTGGGGCCTTCAGCACTCACTATCCTTGGACAGTTATGGGGATGACTTTACTCCAATAAAAATACTTTTTTATGCAAATGGGACAGGAGGGTGTTGCAGATTACTTGCCTATTATAAAAGGGGGTCATGATTCGAAAAAGGTTGGGAGCCACTGAGTTAGCTAGTAGAAACTAAACGGTAAGTGTCAGAAGAGTAACTGAGAACATTGATGGAATTTCCTATCCTTCTCTCCTGTTTTTAACATTCCTCATCGGTAACATTTTTTGGAGGGAAACCTGAAAAACAGCATCATTTTCTTCCAACCAAAACCAGATTTTCCTGCTTATCTGATGTTTATTGCTGCTGAAATCAGTCTAATCTTTACAGACAGATGGCTTTGTCTTAAAGAAACATTCTACAAAAGTTTTTCTGGCTCCTTAGGAAAGTGTCTTCATTCTTTTCAATACTCACCTATTAGCCCAACTATGCACAACACAGAGATCTGTAACAACAACACCTACACCCTGCATTTGTTTTGAACAAGAACAACCCATTCATCACTAACGGGACATGTGGGTGGGAAGAGTTGGAGCAGGATGATGGCACAGAATGGGTTAGCCCTCCTGCTCTTTTCCCTGATTGAAATACTCCACCCAAACTGTTCTTAGCTTAATGGATGCAAACACCTATATTCTGCTTCCCTACTATGAAAGAACTAGTACTAGTATAGGGCCTATTATTCACGCTGAAATAATCAGTTCCACCCTATCCCATAGTAGTGCTCCAATAAAATTCAATCTGCTCCCATTTAAATATTAAAAATAAAATGAAACCCGCAGATTGGATCTGTGTAGTTTGGCCCAAGTGTTATAAAGAAGCAGATTAGGTTTCTAATATGTGACAAACATTCCTTTCTGTGCCTCCTACCTTTGTTTTTGTTGTCATTATTTCTATTTGGATTCCTGCCTTACCTTTTAGAGATGGACACAAATTAATTCAGCCCAGGGTAATGAAATTCATCAGCTGACTGAAATATTCTCCATGGATCATGTGGCCATATGGATTATGTGGCCACATGTTCCGTACCCCCACCCCCACCCAAATGCCCCACTCAGAAGTTTCTCTGCATGGCCTGGGTTGTCATCTGTCACTGGCTGCCCAATCCTAGAAGGAACCTGTGCTTCCCCTCCCTGCCTCCTCTAGCAGCCAACCACTCAACGGCTGCGCAGGGAAAATCCCCCTCCTGCCTCCTCATGTGAGTGGTAAGCTGCTGGAGAAAGTGGGGAAGGGAAGCCAAGAAAATTTTGTCACCCTGGGCCAAGTTAATTCATGCTCATCTCTATTACCTTTTGTCTCCCAAACTTTAATTTAAGGTGACATCATCCACTTGTAGATTGTTTCTTACTAGCAACTTTGTCAACATCTGCATACTACATGCCCAACTCAATCCTACTACAATAATGCCTCACAAGACGAATGCCTTGTACAACGTAAAACTTGCAAGACGAAAGCATTCTGTGATTTTTGGTGACTCACAAGACAAATTTTTCTACGGCGTGCTTCACAAGACATTTTTCCCCCAATGCATTCTTATGGGAAAATTCGCAAGAAGAAATTTTCGCAAGACGAAATGACTCACAGAACGAATTATTTTCATCTTGTGAGGCATCACTGTACAGGTAACAAACAGAAGAAGTGGGGGCAATGCATTTTATCACAGTAACTATTCATACCCCCAGTAATGTGGTCTTCAAAATATGCTTGACTGAAACACCCTGCAAAATTAAAGAACAGTGAACACTGGTGGACATAAGAGCAACAATTGATTTTGTTCCAAGAACTGCTCTGCTGGAAGTACCTGGAAAGCAAGAAAACTTCATGAAAACTCTTTCTTTCTGTGTGAGAAGCCCTAAATAATTAACAGAGGTATGTGCTTACTGGTCCCCTTCATGGATTGCTGCCTTGTCGTGGCGAAGGGGCTTGAGTAACTCAGACAAGCTATGGGCTATGCCGTGCAGGGACACTACTGTCGAGCCAGGTACCACCTATCCTGTACCTGTGCATCTGGTTTCTCCTGCCTAAGTGCAGGACCTTACTTTTCCTGCCACTGAACTACATCTCATTGGATAGGGCCTCCTCCACATAGTTGTCTAAGAGAACTCAAGATATGCTCAAGTACTGGAAGTCTCTTTATGCTTTTGCTTGCCAATGATTATAAATACAGTGGTGCCTCGCTTAACAATGTTAATTGGTTCAAAAAAAATCGCTATGGGAAAACATTGCTAAGCGAAACACCATTTCCCATAGGAATGCATTGAAAACCGGTTAATCCGTTCCAATGGGAACGGATTACGGTCCTTAAGCGAAAATCGCCATAGGAAACATCGCTAAGCGAAATGCGGTTCCCCCATTGGAATGCATGAATAGGTTTCAATGCATTTCAATGGTTTTGACAGGTCCGTTTTCGCTATTTTTAAAGTGTCTTAAAATGTTCAAAAACTGTTTAAAATGCTTGGAATCGTTAGTGCACCCTGTAAAACCTTTGCAAACTTAATTTGGCTTTGTTCTGAGTCTTCGTTAATTTTTGGTGAATTCCCCCCCCC